ATATATATCAAGATATATTTGAATGTTATTTTCTGGAAAACTTTAAGTGCAAACAAAATTAGCGCTGTCATGCCTTATGTGATTTTTTTAAAATAAAATAATTTTTTTAAGCCACTTTGCTCAGGATTGGGATTGGCACAGGTGCCATTTGGTAAAGTACAATGTTTTTACATGCTTTTGGGGTATATTTCATTTCGTTACCAAATACAAGAACAAAAAGTTTTAATGGAACTGGTAGATGAATGAATAATTACATAATTCACGAAACTAATCATTCATTTAAATCGATTTTAGTCACTGATGACATCGCAATATTATTAAAATGTAAAAAAATATTTTAAAAATGGATACCTTTTAGATTATACCTGTTTTAAAATGTATTAAATAGTAAAGTTGTTTATTCTTAAGATACTTATGTTCCCTTTCTAAATAAAATCTACAAGGATTTTCAAGTTTGAAATAGTAAGGAAATTTTAATGGAAGTAAGAAAATAAGAAAATTATGAAATAATTCACTAGATATATTGTAAGGTAAGTAGCATTTACTTTAGGTTTCAGTATATATCAAACTATTCCTAAATAAATCCTACGACTCCAAAAATTAATTTTATCCTGTAACAATACGGAGGGATCACTAGAGAGACAGATCCTTTGTATAGTCAAAATCATCACCTGTATGCAACTTTTATTCAGATACCCATTGTCATACATATGAGCCGCATTCACAAATAGTTTTTCAATTAAAATAAATAAGAGCTCAAAAAACTGCAAACCAGGTAAATCTTTAAATCAATCTGTTACAAAAATTCAGATTGACGACTCGTTCTAGTAAAAAATGCTTGATTATGGTTTATACGTAACCTCATGAGGTTTTTCCAAGGACTTATAATAATTACAAATGAAATAGATCCGTATTTAAAACTTAAAAGGGTCATTTACTTCTAATGTTTGAGTTAATACAAAAAATTTATAAAACACCATGTATTTTATGTACGCTCCAGTTAAATATTTCAGAAAGTGTATTTATGGTCAATTCTAAGACAAAACTTTTCCGTAATTAATGAGAGTATACTATGGACAAATAAAATTTCATAATTCGTGATATTGTTCAATTATTTTTACTTTGAATAATTGAAGCTTCATATCCGCAATTTCCATAGCACCGAAGCTATTGTTTTCTATATAAAAATATAAAGTCAATAGCTCTCGTCGAAATCAAACTGTTGTTTACGGGTATTTCACTATTTTACTTCTGCGCCGGTATTCCACTAATCAAATATTAAAACCAATCAACACTTAGGTGTATAATAGACATTAATCTTCATTGAAGGTAATTGAATTATTAAGAACCGCTTGTCGATTGTTCTGAACTTCGACTACGTCCATACGGCGGTATTTTTTATTTATTTATACGTTTCCGAAGTCTGGCCCAGTATTTTTCCCACCTGGGACACTCAGATTTGCTAATAATTTACCGGTTTGGCAATTTTCTAGTACTCATTTAAAATTATATGAGTGGAAATGCATCTAAAAATCGTAGATATTTTGTACGTTCAAGTGTCCTCGAAGGTAAATTGAAAAGTAATGATTTTTTAAACAACTTAAATCTTAAAAAGGATTTACTCCATCATTATCCACAATTCTGTGTTGCAGAAAATTGGAAAATAAAGATAAATAATTGTTCTCCACGGTAAATAAACTATGTAAAAAAATGCATTGACAGTAAAAATTGTGATTTTGCTTACTAAATAGAACGTTATTCTTGAAAAAATAGATGGTTCTCAATTCCAGTCTCTAATTGAAATAACGAACGCAACCCATTGCTGAAGAGTCCTAATAAGAACGAAACCGGTCCAAGAAAGATGTTCTCAGTGAGCAAAATCAAAGGTAGAATGTTTAAATTTAATTTCTATCTCTGCTGACTTTCCTTTGGATATAATTCAATATCTGTTGAGGTATTAGCCAAAGGAGGGAAAGGGTCGCTCCTATTTTGTGACATATGGATTTGAGTTTAACTTATTTTATTTTACGTCTTGGTCATATTTGAGTTGGAATTATTTTCCTTTATGGTTCCACCTAGTTTTCGAACTGGGTACTCAAGCGACCTTAGATTTTACTAGGAATAGATGGCGACACCATTTTCACTACTTTAATACTTATCTCTTCGTTACCAACTAGTGAATGTGTTGCCTTCGTTAATTCCATTAGAGACTGGAATTGAGAACCATCTATTTCTTGCTGAAGAGTCCTAATAAGGGCGAAACCTGTCCAAGAATGACGTTCTCCTTAGTGAGCAAAATCAAAGGTAGAGTGTTGAAATTTAATTTATATCTCTGATGTCTTTCCTTTGGAAATAATTCAATATCTGTTGAGGTATTAGCCAAAGAAGTAGAAGTTTCCGAAGGGAAACGGTTGCTCTTTTTTGTGACATACGGCTTTGCGTTTAATTTATTTTATTTTATAATTATATTTCATCTCATTCAATATTAGAATGTCCTTTTTATCTATTAGAAAGGTCTTTTTATCTATTAAAATCATATTAATAAATTTAAATAATTCAGGTGTTTTTACACTGTCAAACATTTTTATTCAAAGTAAATGCCCAAACTGACGACCCTCATCTATAACACAGCTAGACGAACAGTGAACTTTTCCCGAACTTTTTCAATAACTTCTGGAGGTATTTGCGACATCTTTCCATTCGTCTGCGATAAGTCAATTCATCGATATTTTGGTATAATATATTTTTTATCAGGTTCAGTCATACGTCCAGTTTACTGGACGCAAGAATTTCTAATGACAGCCGCGTTTAGTTGACACCCGTTAAAAATTAAATATACGTGTTCCTATAAACGGTAGTCAATTGCGATATATCTTAAGTTTTGAAGCGGGCCTTAGCCAAAATTTTCCCTATAAATGCATGTCAAATTGTTGGCTTTTTACTTAACTGAACCATGGTATTTGCTATCAATATGGAAAAAATATACCGGCGTCTAGTTAACTGGACAGTGGTTAAAAGATGTCAATGTGACAGATCTTTCAAATATATCCGAACTAGGTCACGTGACATATTTTATAATTTTATTATAAAAGTTAATGTTCGGTTCTAGATAGCGACTGCTCTGACCCAGTGGGCACTGAACCTGTTAAATATCCCTATAAAAGGAAATTAAGTAGTTAAATCTGGCGACCTAGATGGCCATTCGTATGATCCTCTCATCAATACAAAATACTGTATAGTACAGGAAGTATAAAAAAGGCAGTTAAAATGGTTCGAAAAAATTTATAGATGGCTGAGCAGAATTTTGGTGTGAGTTCCAAAAAATGGTTCGGGAAAATTTAAAGAATGGTAGAGGAAAGGTGACTAAGGAGAATTTTGTAGTGGGTTACAAAAAAAAGAAGGCAGACAGGTAGGATATCGAAGGAACTGGCTAAATGATGTAGATGAAGCTATGAGGACAAGAGCAAAAAGTGTAGAAGCGAATTGAGAAGCGGTAGCAATTCGCTAAATATTTTAAGTTTATGTACTTTTTAGGATAAATACAAGTAGGTAATTAAAAACAATAAATAAAATAACAATAACATAATACAAAGCAATCTAACAAAATTTGAGCTATTTCATGTTAAAATCAAAGTTGCGCAAAGTGTCTCAGGTACTCACTGACAAAAGAGAAGATCAGTGTCTTAGGAGAGTATAAAGAGTTCTTTTTAATTTCCTTAAATTTGAATTCATTTGGACAAAAATGTATTGTAAAGGTTAAAGTCCAATGAGTTTCTTCATTTCTGGTATGATGATAGAGTAAATTTAATTTTGTTGCAATTTCTATTAATGTGGAATAAAAACATGGTTGGTCCGGCATAATACGAAATGTATTTATTGGTCAGTATTTTAACAGCTTTCTTTTGCAATCTGAAAATTTTTCGGGATCCAGGATAATTTCCCCATATGGAAGTGAAATAAAGAATAACAAGTGATTCTTAAAATATTAGAGCTTATTTAATTTTTAGTTGTCTAAGTACAAAAAAGGAAACTAGTAAGTATACTCTTTAATTGGTCAGCAGTTTTACAGTTTCGTTTGTAACATCAATTGTAGAAAATTTCATAATTTGTATTTTGTCATTATTTAATTTTAGTTCATTTTTGAAAAATCATATTTAAGCTTTGAAGTCAATAAATTCCAAAACATGACTTAAGTTAGGAATAATTAATCTTAGTAGATAAATGTTGAAAGTGCTGATTTACATGTCAACATGAAATTATTACATAAGTCGTTTACACAAATATTCAAAAATAGCGACCCTGAGGTACACCTTGTAGGTATTATTTATAATTTGAACTAATATCAGAAGAAACAGCTTGATAACGGTTTGTTAGGTATGATCTAAATAACGATAAAGTCACTCCTCTCACGCCATGTAAGCAAATGATTTGGACTGTTCGTACATCGACCTTTCTCCAGACCACTGACAACTAAACTTATAGGGGGTCTTTCATTAATAATTGACCATACAATATTAATAATTGGCCATAGAATAACTGAAGAATCCTAAAATATGGATTTAACATAAAATAATTCTTTTATTTCAAAATTTAAAAATTCTTTTTAATTATTTGGACAGTATTAAATATTTGTTTTTGTAGAATTTGACAGAAGGATTATTACTCCAGTAATTACGTGCTTTATATTGCCTTTAACTGGAAAAATTTGCGAAAGTTTTGATATTTTGCGATTTTATGTATTGCCAAATTGAAATAAATTATGAAAAATAAGTTTTTTGAATGTATCTTGTTACTCGTTGATTTTACAGCAAAAATCATTCTATAATAAATTAAAGTGTATAATTCTCTCTATATATTTGGTTCAAATCATTTTGTTTATAAAACCAGCCCATTTTGGATAAAAGACTAAAGAAGGTCAATACTTAACGTTCAGTAAAAAGTTATGCCCATTTCCACACCACCTTGAGGTAGGGCATACGGCACGTTTTTTTCCGTGGTTGCTAAGTGAACATTACACTATTTTGTTTCGCAATGGTAACCCTGAGGGACCAGCTTATGTTTCTGCTAGTTGATAGCAATAACGTTTCAGAATCGTGAGGGATCACTGGCGCAGTAGATTCTTCTGTACTTTCTGCATCCGCAGTAGATTCCTCTGTACTTTCTGCATTAAGTTCATTAAGCAGTGGTTCTAAAATTGTATCACTGTCTTCGTCTTCATCACTACCTTCCAAAATTTGAGGCATGTTATCACATTTACTGTCACAGTTTGAACAAATTATAGAACAGCTCAGCCCTTTCCTTTTTTGCATTTACAAGAAATGAGTCGAAGAAAAACTTCTGGAGCAGGAGTGCAGTCAAAGGAACATGACCATTTTTGTTCTTCTTCCAACCCCATTGATCTGCTGGTTTTTCATTACCGTCTTTTCTCTTAAGGCTGAACTGACGAAATATCTCTAATCCCTTCTCTTTTATCACAATTGCTTCACTTTTAGTCAAAATATTGTCACACTCTGTTTTTTGGTTTCCATCATAATTTACAACACAACACGTACAATGTTTACCATCGATACACCCGCTGCGCTGTCGAGATAATAAAACACCCCGTAGCAATAAACTATTACAATTCAAAATCAAACATTATAGGTGATAAAAAGGAAGAATGGTTGCCTGCAATCTTTTAATAAATGTTCTTACTTCCTTATAACTAAATGGCGTGTTTCTAACACATTCAGCAATACCTTCCGTATACAACTCTTGTAAAGAAAAGAGTAAATTTCTTTGCGCGTGAGTAGACAAATTTACATCCGACCATCTGAAAAACTCTTAATCTCAAAGTTGGCGCTCGAGCGAAGCGCCAGTTTAAAGGTAAACGCAAAATACTACGAACGAAACAAAGGTAGCAAAAAAAACGAAGAAGACGAAAAGCCCCTGACACATTTTTACAACAATGTAACTCACCGCATAAACGACTTCCGTTGTTCGCCCTTGTTGCAAAACACAAGAGCTAAGGGCTACGAAAGTTTTCCATGACAATTTTCACATTTTCACACATAAGAACAACTTTAAACGGACTTTTTAACGAGCTGCTTTCTTCGCCCGAAAATTGTTTTACCTTTCCATTTTGTTAGAGGATTTTATAGTTTTTGACAATTTGCGAACGAGGGCTTATAGAACATTTTATTTGACTTCGGATTTTTACATTTTTTGATATGTATTCGGAAGATTATTGGGTATTGAACTTGTAATATTTTAAAAATTCCTTTTAAAAATGTTATTTTAAATGTGTTACATCCTGTATAAAAATGGTATACGGCTAATTTAAAATTTAATTATCGCCGCACGCAATATACCTAAAAAAGGGAAATTTCGAAAAGTTGAAGTTCTAGTTAGCAGTCGATGTCCAAATCCATTCTTGAAATTAATTTTCACATCATATCTTAAACAACCAACATCTTTGGCTGCAAATAGCGATGAGTTATTATGTAATTAAAAAAAAACATATCTCAGCAGAAATTATATTTCTTTTTGTTAATTATAAGTTTATTTTTAAAAGTCAAGTTAAATTTATTCAATATGGTTTAGTAATTCCTTTTATGTTGCTAGAATTACACATTGTTTGTATTAATTATTTTTTATTGTTGCAAATTTTTAAAAAGTTGTTGCTGAAAAGTTTGATTTATATCTCGTGAAAAACAGAATTTATATTTGTTTAGGGAGCGAATACAAGCAGCTTCAATTTTTTTCCATGTTTTACATTGGAAAGTAAAAAAATAGACACCACATTTTTACATAAGCAGAGCAGTATCGATTTACCGGAAGATAGAGGTTGGTGTTTGTGCTCGTGGAGCTACCAAATTTATGGAGACTGCTGCTGCATCAGATATAAGGTTCTATCTTTACAAATATTATTGTAACTAAAGTTCACGAGGCTAAAATATATAACATTATAGTACGATTGAGATTTTAATCTAGCAAAATAAAATCATTTATGTTCATGAAAATTTAACTATTATTAATCATATATTTATGTTGAATTATATTTTTAAGGGTTACAACAATTCTCGTTTTACCTAAATTGTATATAATTTTTAATTGTCTTTTTGACAAAGCTACAGTTTATAATTCTTAACTAGCTTCTTAAAAAATAAAAGAGAATTATTGGCGTCCTTTTCTTTCCTGAAAACTATTTCCCCGAAAGTGTCTATTAGAAAAGCCGAATTCACGACTGAGAAACCAATATGGTCAATGTGCTCACTTCTTGATTTGATTAAAGGTAAGTAATGTTTGGTATACAAGTATTAAAGTCATTTTAAAAAACCGGCTTCAAAATCGAGCAGATGCCGTCATCACATCTTAATCAAATTTATATGGGACCACTCTTGAGGTACCCACTTACTAACAAAAAAGAATCATAAAAATCGGACAAGGTAGTAAAAAATGAAGATTTTTCTTATGGATTAAATTATTAGATTTTGACCAAATTTATATGAGACCACCCCTGAGGTGCCCCCTTACTAACAAAAAAGAATCATAGAAATTAGACAAGATGGTAAAGAATTATCGCTAAACATACATTAAAAATGAAATGAAGAGTTTGAGGATTTTCTAATGGACCCAATTATTAGATTTTGACCAAATTAATGTGGGACCACCCCTAAAGTAACCTCTTTCTAACAAAAAAGAATCATTGAAATCGGACACCGTATTAAAGAATTATCGCTGAACATACATAAAAAATATTACGACGCATTAAGAGCCTCCTCCATTTTTGAAGTCGGTTAAAAATATCTGAGAGTTAGTCAAAGTGTTTTCAAAGTTAACGAATTTTATTGTAAATTAAAGCCAATCATATTCTGAATTCACGATAACACAAATTATTCAGATTTTAGTACAAACTTTGAAAACCGTATTTTTGTACCTTGGCGTATTTTTTTAAGAGCTACAGCATGCGATCATAATTAGTTAATAATTATTTACGTATAACAAAACATGGCAGTAACAAATTTCCAAAATATTTATTTTTAAATAAAGATGGATTTACCCAAAGAAAGCTTTTATTTAAAATTTACTTTAAAATCTCCTTAAGAAGTTATTTCATAATGATTTTCCTAACGTAATTTTATTAAAACATTCATTAAAAAAATTTCTTTTTTTAAAAATTTTGTTTAATCCCTAACCACCATTCTTAGGTGAAGAAATTTGAGTTGTTTAAATAAACAATTCATGTTCACAATCATTTATTTCAAGGATTAAATTTAAATGAATTTTTTTGCATGAAACAAATGTGTTTCATTTTTATTTGTTTAAATAAAGACTTGTAAGATCTTGTTGAAAACAAATAATTTATTTGAAATGAGAAAATGATAGATTTAGATGTTCATGAAACAAGAATTGCATTTGTTTGAATAAGATAAATACTTTTTAGGAGAATACTATGATGTTGCCAAGGGACATTTCAGCCAACGGCAGTATATTTGCAGTTCGCCATAGATTCTCACTGGGTGGTCTTATTATCCGACTTATTCTTGTTCGAACTAATCTGACTTGGTATAGTATTTCCAAAGTCAGTTGGAATAGTGAAATACATAACTAGAGTACAAAGAGTACTCCGTTTATATAGTTATAGTACGCTAATGCGAAAGCTACATAGTATTGGGCTAAATAAATACGGGTCTAGCCTTGTATTACTAGTGACACATTATCATTTGACAAAGCAGCAGACCAGCTGTATTTTCGCATTATCTTGCCCATGTTATCATCACAATATTATTGAGTCGCTAGGTAATAAATCTTTTTGACGGACAATTGTTGTTAATTTCAAATTTCAGTACCGCGTGTTTGGGTTTTTTTTAACCGACTTTAAAAAAGGAGGAGGTTATCAATTCGTCGCGATATTTTTTTTTTATGTATGTTCATCGATTATTCTTTAACACGTTGTCCGATTTCAATGATTCTTTTTTTGTTAGAAAGGGGGTACTGCAGGGGTGGTCCCATATAAATTTAGTCAAAATATAATAATTGGGTCCATGAGAAAATCCTCAAACTCTTAATTTTTTATGTATGTTTAGCGATAATGCTTTACCACCTTGTCCGATTTATATGATTCTTTTTTTGTTAGAAAGGGGCTACTTTAGGGGTGGTCCCATATAAATTTGGTCAAAATCTAAAAATTGGGTCCATGAGAAAATCCTCAAACTCTTCATTTTTTATGTATGTTTAGCGATAATGATTTACCACCTTGTCCGATTGATATGCTTCTTTTTTTGTTGCTGATAGGACTTCCCGTATCACATTTAAATTAGAAGGGTTTACCATGAATATTTAATTCAATCAGAACTTTCGGAATTGAAATCAATGTTTTGAACAGACTGCTGGTATTTTAGAAGACTGGTTATACATACTTTATCGATGTAACCTTGTTTTTTTGCAACTTTTGCATTGAAGTTTGTTCACTAAAAGGCACTTATATTCCTACTAGTCCTAATTTTGTTTTACGTTTCTGGTTAGTAGAATAAAGATTGGTTTTACTGGATCGAGTTCGTTCATCTTGTTGTGCATTAAGTTGATTGACTAAATTTGAAGTTGAAGGAATATATAGTTCCCTGTTCTCAATTCTTGTAATAGTTTCTTATTTTTAAGATAACAAATCTTTATATATATTTTAGAATTTTAAGTGAATTTAATAATTGCGTCAAAAATCAGTTTATCTGATTGAACTAAAAGTAAAGAAATATTGAGTGGAAGTTTATTTAAATCTGTAACAGTTTTAATATGGCATTTTGGAGACCGTTTAAGGCAAATAGTGAAATGTCACAGGATAATGCGAACATTAACTGTGATTCAGAGAATACTGAAGAAGGTGATTGGGAATTTAAAAATAAAGATTTGCATGTTCAAACACAGAGACTTGTTTTAAATATTTTTGAATGTTTGAAAAGAGAAAATTGTGAAAAATCCGACAACTTTATAATAAGAAGAATATGTGAACTAACGAAATTGAAACGAACAACTATTTATCGTATTATTTCAAAAAGAGATGTAACTGACCATTTTGTACAACGAGAAAGAGTTAATCAAAAGCTTGCGAAAATTGATAAAAGTGGAAAGGAATTTATACGTAGGACAATTTATGATATGTATCAAGAAAATCAAGTTCCTACTTTAGAATGTATTCAAAGAAAATTATTAGATTACCCCGACTATAATTACAAGTCCCTAGAAACATTGCGTCAAATTTTATTAGATTGTGGATTTAGACATAAGAAATTGGACAAACGAATGGTGATAATGGAATCACAACGAATTGTAA